CGCGCAGGCGCGCGTGGGTATGTGTATGTTGGTGCGGGCGCGCGTGTGCGCGCACGCGTGGGTACTCGCATGCTTGCGCGAGCTACCGTGTGGGTGTGGGCGCACGTGTCGCGTCTACGAACAGTGTGTAGTGTGTGTGTGTGTGTGTGTGCGCCCGCGCGTTTGTGTTGTCGTCTGTGTGCCTGAGTGTCTGCATCTGTTTGTCTGTCCGTCCGTCTGTCGGTCTGCCTCTGTGTCTGTGTCCGTCAGCCTGTACGTCTGACTGCAAGTCACTGTGTCTGTCCGTGTGTCTGTCTGCGCATGCATCTATCCGCCTGCGTGTCTGCCTGCCCGCCTGCCTGTCTGTCGGTCTCTGTCTGTCTCTGTTGTGTGCCTGTGTGTCTGTGTCTGTTCGTCTGTGTGTGTGCTTGTGTGTGTCCGTGTGCGCGCTGGGGCGGTGGGGATGCGGGCGTGTCTACGACAAAAGACTAGTTTGCCGGCGCTCATTGGCGCTGGGGGCGTGGCCGAGGGCCGGTGGTTGGGCTGAGTTGGTGGTTTGAGCGTGAGCTTGTGTGACTGAAATTTGGTTCGCAGCATAGTCAGGGCTGCGACACCATGCAGCGCACACTGACCTTTTTCCCAGACCGCAAATCACCTCACTGAGCCCCTGTCTGCTGTCCTGCCGCCTCACAACCTGCGACCTCGCAAGCGCGCCAGGTTGTGAGTGTCGCACATCTCCCAGCTGCAAGAACAAAGACACAGACGCAACTACTGTGTGTCTTGCGCCTAGACCGCAGGCCCAGAACATTATGAAAGTACCCGGTGCTTTGTAGGGTGCGTGGGCTGGGCTGCAGAACTCCCCCACATGGGGGGACGCGTGGAAGGGGTCCACAATGAAGTTCACGGTGGCCAGTCAGGAAGCAACGGCCGAAGAGCGCCTCTGGTCCAAGCACATCAACTTCAAGTGACAGCCGGCGTCATGCACCAGAGTTGGAAGCTAAAATCGCAGCCAAGTGGTTCCTCTGACTCAAGCTTTCTGCGCAGGCGCGGTCGCGAAGGTCCACCGCAAGCCTGCAAGCAAAGAAGAAAAACGGACGCGGATCTGAGCGACCGTTGAATCACTCATTTTATCAGGAAACCACAGCATTGCAGCAGCTCCGCAACCGACATGATAACCTGTCCTGAAGCGCCCGCGGCAACCAAGAACCCCGCAGTTCTGGCTGCGACAGCGGGAAGGTTTTCACTCGTCGAGGTCCCCTGCCTCCTCAGGCAGTAGCCAATTGAAAAAAAATGCAGCTGGCCGCCACACACTTGTAAGTGCTTATTCTCACACGCCGGCGCCCGATTTCTCCGAACATAGGTTGGTCTGGTTGGTCTTGGTCAGCTGCGTGCTTTGAGCGCAGTGTAAGGCCGACACGGCGCTGCTGGCCTCGTACGCCACGAACGCCGCGCTCTCAGTCAGCTCCAGCGCCCTCGACGCAATCCTCGCGGAGCTCGCCGCCCTGCAGCTTTCCGGCAGCGGCGGAGTTGTTAACGCGCCGGCCTGGGCGGGCTTCACTACTTGGGAGCTCGTTCGCGGAAGCAACGTCGTTCGCAACCTGCATCTGGCAGATCGCAGTGCGTCCGCCGCTGTTTGAGAGGCCGTCTTTGAGGCGGAGAGTCGGTCGGTGTGCGCAGCTGCAGCTCGGGGCGAGGCCATCAGCGGGAAGAGCTCAGGCAGCTGCTTGTGGGTGCAGGCCCTGAGGTCGTCGATCATGCTGGCCAGGCTCGTGGGGAAGACGTTCATGCTGTCCACGAACCTCAGCAGACCCCAGCTCATCTGCAGGCACTTCTTGCCCGACTTGCAGAGGACTCGGAGGCTGAGGTGGCTGTAGTCGCCCTGCTTGATCGCGGGGCGCACCAGCCGCTGAGGGGCTTTGGAGCGGCCTTGGCCTTGGCCTTGGGCGCGGCCTTTGGTGCAGCCTTGGCCATGGGCATGGGCCTCTCGGACTCGCTTCCTTCTGCCTCGCTTTTGGTGCCGTCGTTGTCGCTGTCTCGCCGAGCTCTTCGCGCGGCGCCCTGCAGACAGGAGAGCCCATCGTGGCTATGTAGCGCAGCAGGAAGTGGAAGTCGTAGCCGCCCGTTGTGAAAGACCACTGGGATGGTCTTGGGCGTCTGGGCCGCGATGTTGCAGGAAGCGCCCCGAGATACCGCCCGGCGCCGTGGCAGTGGTGGAGCTTCTTCTGCCACTCTTGTGCGGCCTGCAGCTGCACCCCCCAGCAGCAGCTTGTGGAGATGCGGGGGCCGTGCGTTCTCCCTCCGCCAGAATGCTCTGGCGATCTCCACCGGCGGCAAACTGGTAGCGCCTGCCGAACATCAAGGGCTCACACCAATTCAGACGCAGCAACACCCCCTCTTCCTGGAACGAGGCCCGGTGCAAGAACATCCTAGTAGCGCCACCGGCGAGCCAAGAGACCGCCCCGCCCCAGCTCTTGTTCTGAAAGAAGTAGTCTGCGCGTGGGGCGTCCACCACGCCGGGCGGCTGTAGTGACGGACATGCACTTAGAAACGGCCTTGGGACTTTTGTCAGCAGGGGCTTTTTTGGTTTCTAAGTGTTGGTACGGACTGCTACGGCCAAAATCTTGTAGCGCTAGCCCAACGACTATTGACTCCAGGTGGGACACATTTATATCTTTCATGCCTTGTTGGATGTCTATATGGGCTTGGACCAGCCTTCGAAAGAATTGGAAATAAATAAATATATATATATACTGCTGGCAAACCGTATGCCTCCCATCAGGCCTTGTTGGTTACACAAGGCCTGGGCCGGGTCCTGGGCACCACGGCCTGGATGTACATATATACATATATATATATATATATATATATATATCTATGTGTGTGTCCGCTTGAGGGGCGTTTCTAAATTTGCAAATTGCCACCTGGAACGCATATGTAGGCATCGACCAGCAGACAAGTCCAACCGGTAGAATCTGCGGGGGGCGTTTCTAAGTGTTCACCGCCCAGCTGATTTCAAGCCCATCCAGCCCCACGAAAACACCGATGCCCCGAGGGTAAAGGTCTCTATATGTGCAAATAAATCATGCCTTCAAATATGTACTTTTGCACGTACACACACAGACAACTTCAGGGGGAGTGTTTCTAAGTGTTCACCGCCCAGCTGATGTAAAGCTCCGACAACCCAAAGAAAACACCGATCCCCGAGGATGAAGGTCTATAGATGTGAAAATAGATCATGCCTTGCTCACACACATGCTGACAAATATGTCGTATTGGTCATGTATACACACACAGAAGTCCAATTTGTAGAATCTGCGGGGAGGGAAGCCGTTTCTAAGCGTTCACCGACCAGCTGATTTCAAGCTCCGCCCCACGAAATCACCGATGTGATGAACGTCCATATATATACATTGAAAAACATAAATACACATATACATATATACATATATACATATATACATATGAGATCATGCCTTGCTCACACGCGCTGGCATACTTTTGTAGCACTGGTCATGTGTGTATACACACAGACAAGTGCAATTGGTGGAATCTGGGCAGAGGGGGGGGGCGTTTCTAAAAGTTTGCCGTCCAGCTAATTTCAACCCTCTAGGACACCGACGCCCCAAGGATGAAGGTCTATAAACATGTTGAAAAGATCACGCCTTGCTCACACTCTGGGGGCGGGCGTTTCTCAGTGTTCACCGCCCAGCTGATTTCCAGCTCCGGCAACTGCAAGCAAACATCGATGCCGCGAGGATGAAGATCTGCATGTGTGTATAAATATATAGATCTGTAAATAGATCATGCTTTGCTCAGAGACGCGCTGATATTTATATATATATATGTGTGTGTGTGCACATTGGTCATGTATACACACAACAAACAAGTCCAATTGGTAGAATCTGGCGGGGGGGCGCTTCTAAGTGTTCAGCACCCAGCTGGTTTCAAGCTGCGGCAACATATATGTGTAAGAAAAACATGCCTTGCTCACACTCTGGCTGACAAACATGTAGTATTGGTCACACACACAAACGAGTCCAATTAGTGGAATGTTGCGGGGGGGGGGGGGGGTTCTAAGTTTTCACCGCCCAGCTGATTTCAAGCTCCGGCAACTCCAACAAAACCGAGAATCCAGGTTTATATATGTGTGACTAGATCAAGCCTTGCTCACACACGTGCTGACATATATGTAGTATTGGTCATGTGTGCACAGACAAGTCCAATTAGTAGAATCTGGGGGGGAGGGCGTTTCTAAGTGTCACCGCCCAGCTGATTTCAAGCCCCAACAACCAGAACAAAAACACCGATACGATGAAGGTCTATATATAAATGTACATATAAACATATGCATTTAAATACAAAGTAAATAGAGTATGCTTTGCTCAGACACATGCTTGTAAATAGTCGTGTGTGCACACAGACAAGTCCAAGTGGTGGAATCTGGCGGGGGGGGGGGGCGTTTCCAAGCGTTCACCGTCAAGCCGTCAAGCTGATTTCGAGCTCCGGCAACTGCAAGAAAACCCCGATGCCCCGAGGATGAGGGGCTGTGATAATATGTATGTAGTAGTGGTCATGTGTACACACCTACAAGTCCAATTGGTAGAATCTCGGGGTGGGGCGTTTGTAACATTTCACCCAGCGAATTTTCAAGCTCCGGCGACTGCAAGATAATCCCGGCGCCCCGAGGACGCAGGCCCATATACTGCAAGAAAATACCGCTGCCCCGAGGATGAAGATCTGTCTATATATACATATACATAGATATTTATCTGTAAGAAGATCAACGTGCTTGTGTATATGTAGTATTTGGCATGTATACACACGGACAAGTCCAATTGGTAGAATCTGAGGGGTGGGGCGTTTCTAAGGTTTGCCGCCCAGCTGATTTCAAGCTCCGGCAACTGCAAGAAAACCCAGATGTGTAGTATTGGTCAGGTGTAGGGTAGAATCTGAGGGGTGGGTTTTCTAAGTGTTCACCGCCCAGCTGGTTTCAAGCGCGGGCAACCCCAACAAACCATGCCATTATCCTCATTTCTCATCATGTGTTATTGTGTCGCGAAGATTTTTTGCTTGTTACCGTGTTTTGTGTAGAAACAAAGGACAAATGATGAAAACATGATTGCAAAAGATGTTTTTGATTGGAAATTCCGAAAAAACAAGAAAATGCCAGCAAATGCTCATTTGTTCATCATTGTTCATCATTTTCTCATCGTTTTTCATAATGTGCTCATCTTTGTCATTCCGCAAGGGTTGTATTATTTGGTCATCATTTTCAAAAGAATCGTATCTGTGCGAACTCATGGAAACATGATGGGCAAATGATGAACAGAATGATGACACCATAATGATTTCCGGAAGATGCAGACCCTGGCGAAACCCTGAAGTTTAAGGAAGAAGATAGCAAAACATCATTTGTTTCATCATTTGTCTATCATTGCGCAGGTGTTCTCGTCGTTTGTTCGCACTACATATATATATATACACATACAACAAATGCGCGCAGAAGCGAGGAAAAAGTCATGAATCCGAGAAATTGTGAACAAAAGAAGAACAAATGATGAGACCAAACGATGCCAAAATGACTGCGTTGCGACAAACAATTTCAGTGTTTGGCTGCCCGAAGATCTCTTAAGTCTATCATGTGTGATTGATTAACTGTGTAGTTTTGTTGTTTTTGTTCTTGCATGGTCGACTCTCTCTTGGGGCAACGTCCGTGACCAACGCTTAGAAGCCGCAGGTACCTCTCAACCAACGCATCCCTCAGCCTGTCGGCGGCGTTACGGGCACAGGCGCGCTCGCAGGAGCGCTTGGCTGGTCTGCAAGCGCGGTCTTTCTGGCACTGCCGATCATGCTGCAGCAGGCATGGCTTGGTGGATGTGGGCAGTTGGGCCCCTCGTGCGCCACCTCCAAGAAATCCTGAACCCCGTTAGGAAGCCGATCTTCTCTCCTGGTCGACAAGCAAAGATACAAGTCCTTCCGCGCCCCGCTTGGCATTTCGAGGTTTGCGCACACCCGCAAATGCGGCGAAACAGTCTTACACCCGCCCGCGCTACCCCGTGAGCAACACTTGTCAAAGCTGTCGCCTTGGTTTGGCCACGTGTCTGACTCGCGCCCTCGTCGCCGCAGTCGTCGCTCCTGCGCCATGTCGACAACCAAGAGAGGCTAAAAGACTCTAGTTTTCATTTTCGGGCTGTTTTGCGACTGCGGGCAGGCCGCATTTGCATCGCGATGGCCCAGAGAAAAGCAGTTCAGGGCAGCTTTCCCCTTGGCATGCGCCGGCTTCAACGTGTGATTACATGGCTCAAGACGCATTGGGTAAAAGGTCCGTTGCAACTGAAGACACATTCAGGTTAGTTGGCTGGTCTGCTGTGTCGACAGCGTGTATGGCTGCGCAAACAGTCAATGTGAGCTCACCGTTAGCATGTCAGATCTGCCAAGAGGGATTCTGAGGGGTTCCCCTATGTGTGGCAAGGGTTTGGGAATACATAACTGACTGTGCTCGCTTGCGCAGCGAGCATAGCGGGGGAAGTCACAGGGCCCAAAACGAGAAGGGGAAATCTAAGTGTTTGAATTTTGGTTTGCTTGCCCAAGAAGACGTCAGTCCTTGTGACAGATTGCAGGAAAACACTTTCTGAACGGATCTACCAAGCCCCTAATATATGACGCATCTTTGTCTGCGCTTGTGGGACTCGTTCTGCCAGGCAACAGTATTGACAACCCTGGACATTCAGTTGGTATGGCTCGGGGGTATGATTTGGGGTATGGCTCGCGCGCCTCTGAACTCTTGCTTTGTGGCTTTGGACACTGCAAAGCTCACGTGCGCTGGCAACTGGATAGCCGTGAGAATTTGGACCGCGTAGTTGCTACAAGCCAGCCTGGGGCGCTTGTGAGTGGCCTGAACTAGACAGCTGCCACTCTGCGTGAGTGGGTGAGCGAAGGCTGCTGCGCTAGGTGGAAGGCGCAGAGCCACTGCCTGGGGCGAACGTCACTGCCACCTCCACTTGGAGTTCAAGCGACCCGCGTGCTCACAGACCCAAGCAAGCGTTGCTTAAGAGGAAGCGCCGCTGCCCAGTCAGGCCCGCCACCCGCACCAGTCACGAACCAGCGTAAGGGCAAGACAGCGTGACATACTCAAACGGCAGCCGCGCAGAAGGTAGTGGGCCTCTCACAGGTGGTGTACCGCGTTTCCTTTCCCTGTCTCTGGCTTGTTCTTGGGGGTCCTGAGTGTGGATTTCTACGCAGGGGAACCGCTGCGCAAAACTGACACAGTGGTAGAGTGTGGTAGGCTCACGCTTGATACATCGCAGTAAGCCTTCCGAACCCACCTTCTGGCGAACTTCTGCGAAAAAAGCCGCGAGCTGGTTCCTGCAGTTTTTTCCTCTTCGTTGTCTTCTTGTCTGTCTACCTGTTCCTACTCCTCGTTTTCCTCGCGCAGTTTGGCTTGCCGTCTTCTTCCCCTTCCGTTGCTATTTCGCGTTCTTCCTCTTGGCCCCGTTGCGGGATTCGACGCCCTCCTCTTCGAGCCTCGGTCTTCATCCTCTGTGCTGACCCGGGCGGGATGCGACGCCCTAAAAACGCTTACTACAACCTCTCTTTCCTTTTTCCCCCCCTTTCCCCCCTCTCCCTTCCTCCTTCTTCTCTCTTTCCTCCTTTTGTTTCCTGGTCTTCTGCTTCTCCTTCCTTTCTTTTCTTCCTTTTCTCCTTTCCCCGGGCGGGCTGCGGCGCCCTAAATACGCATCTTGTTCCCCTTTGTCTTCCTTTTCCCTTTCTCTCTCTCTCTCTCTCTCTCTCTCTTTCTTTCTTTCTCTCTCTCTCTCTCTTTCTTTCTCTCTTCCTCTCTTCTCTCTCTCTCTCTCTCTCTCTCTCTCTCTCTTTCTTTCTCTCTTCCTCTCTTCCTTTCTTTCGTTTTCCCCCCCCCTCCTTTTTTCAACTATTTCCTGTTGTTCCTCTTCGCCCGTTTAGGGATGGCCTGGTCCTCTTCTCGGTCTTCATCTTTGCGGCGGTGGTCGTCTTCCAGGTTTAGGAGGGTTTCTGGGCTGTTTGGGGTTTTTGCCCTCGGCGGTGACCCTAAAACTCGGGTTCCCCTGTTTTTCGTGTTTCTTGGTTGGGGTTTTGCCCGCGGAGGCCCAACGTCGGGCTTTCTGTTTCTTTTGGGTTCTTGCTCCGTTTGTTTTCTGTTGGGGTCTTCGTCTGTCTTTCGGGCGCTTCTTCTTCCCCCCTGAAAAAGGGTTTTTGGTTTACTCTAGGAAGCTGCGGATTTGGTCTTCCGGATACAAAAGATAGTGTACGCCCCTCTTGGAGGGGCGTGTGTGTGTGCGGAGTGGCAGAAAACCCTGCCACCAACACTTTTCTGCAGCAGGGGGCGCAGGGAGTGTCAGCGAGTCCTGCGCCAACGAAGACGCTCGCTGTTAACTCGTGATATCCAGCCTGATCAGCTGGACGTACCTGCAATTGTGCTGTTTGTGAATGTCCTTTTGGCCCCCTCCCTGAACCGCCGCTGCTTCTGTGTGTCCCTGTTAAAGTAGCTACAGGGAAGCCAAGTGCATTGCGAGCCGAAACTCATCGTACTCGAGACTTATCAGTTGTACTCGAGACTCATCAGTTGTACTCGAGACTCATCAGTTGTACTCGAATGATTAGCACCCTCCTGTGTGTGTGGGTGCGTGCGTGTGTGTGTGTGTGTGTGCATGTGGCTGTATGCGTGTGGGTGTGTGTGTGTGTTTGGTCCGGTGTGTGGCGCGTTGTGTTTCTGTGTGTTGGGGGGGGCGGGGGTGGTGGTGGTTTGTGTGTGTGTGCGCGGTTGCTTATTTGTTTGTTTGTTTCTTGCGTGTGGGTGTGCGCACGTGCGCGCGCGTGTGCGTGTGCGCTGCTGGTGTGTGCGTGCGTGCGTGGTTGTTGTCCGCGTGCGTTTCTGCCTCCAGGCGTTTTAGCCAATCAATCGGAACCATTGGCCCATCAAGCGGCTTTTTTTGCCGTGTGCAAAAGGTCTTGAATATTCACGAAGTGCTCAAACGTCCATGTTGGGTGTTTTGCAGCAAGGGCAAACATGTGTGAAGATTGCCAAGTCAAGCAAACACTCAAACACTTGGAGTGAAATAAGTTCGTGAAAAACAGCAACGTTTTGGAGAAACCAAGTTGTGAACTAACTATTTTGAGTACCAAGCATGGACGTACGATTTGTGAATTCAATTGGTGAATTGAGAAGGTGGATGCCCAAGTTGACGCAGCAAAAACGGTGACCACGGCCAATCGATAAGATTCTGTAATCTTCACTAATTTCCATGAACTTCACGAATGTCCATTAAACTTCTTTGATTTGAGATCGTGAGTAGTGATTTTTAATGAGATTTACTGAATTCTAGTCAATGTTAGTGAACTTTCATAAGTGTTCATGACGATTCACTGAATTTCACTAAGTGTCATTACATGTCATTAAAGGTCACGACAAACTCAATCACTTGAAAACGTGAAATTTAATGAACTTTCATGATTGGTTTTTATGAATGTTAATCAAGCTTCACAAATGCTCGTGGGCGGTTCATGAAGTTTCACTACATTTCACCAAACTCGTTATAAGCCACTAAGTTTCACCACATTTCACAAATTTGAAAGTGACACTCAGTGATTTTTGTGAACATTCGTGAACTTCACTGAACTTGTCTGAAATTTAGTGAAGTCAGTCGTCCATCATGAAAATTCCCTAAAACTGCCTATCATTCACTAAGAACTCACTATGTCGATTCACGATGTTCATTTGCGTTTTCCAAACTTCACTCTTCCCACACACTAATTCATTGGTCAGTTTTACTAAAAACATATCTTGATGCGCCTGTTCTCTACCTCCTAGCAGCAGTCTGAAAAGGGCAATATCGAGCGGCGGAAAGTCAGCGCCGCTGGGTCGTTGGTGCGCGTGTGTGTTGGTGCGAGCTTGGGCGGGCGCGAGCGCGTGTGCGTGCCTGCGTGCGTGGTGTGTGTGGATCGCCGCTGCTCAAATGCCATCCCCCAGCCTCAAGACCTGCTCGCTGCCTGCGTCCCAGCGCGAGCACCTGCGCTGCAATCAGTCAACTCACTTCTTGACGCCGCCTAGCTCTAAAAACACGACTGTTTGTCTGGCCCTGCGCCTTGGCCACTGCGGCGCCCCAACGACCACTAGCTTACCAGTTCGTCGCCACAAACCGCTCTGGCCATGGCCTCTCCGTGGACTCCAAGGAACACCATGACCTGATTCCGGATCTGCTCAGTCGCAACCACCCTCATTCTGGGCTCCCAATCTGCTAAGAAGACTCCACAATCCAGTGAAGTCTGCAGGAGTTTCACACACTGGAGAGATCAGCCAAGGACCATGGCCGACCTGAGTTGTTGGGAGTAGATTGGATAGGTGGGTGCATCTGCAAATTAAGATGGAACACAACAAAGTAGGGGAATCTTGTTTTGGTGCTCATGAGCACTTTTCCAGCTGTCATTTCGCGGATTTCAACCGCTTGCACTTTTCAAAGTGGAACCTTTTAAGCGCCAAAGAGCGATAGCGCATTTAGCCCCGCGCCCGAGTAAGAAGATGTGGATGACAAGCTGCGCCATGACGTTCCACACGCCGGCCATGCCATTGACAAAGTGAGTCTGCGCGAATCGAACCGCACAGCTGGCTGACCGCGTGTCTTGAAGAGGGGGAAGCCCGGCTTCAGCAAACATGAGCTATGTATATATATATATATACACATATATATCCGCCGATCAATTGTCTGGCAAGGACGAGGCGCATGGGAAGGCTGTCATCCTCCTCCTCAACGTCATCCATCATCATTTTCATCATCATCTTCATCATCATCATGACCATCATCATCATCATCATCATCATCATCATCATCATCATCATCATCATCATCCCACACATGAGCAACAATGCACTGATTTTGGTTAGGGGTTTTGCAATCGAAATTAGGCAACCCAAGTTTTCGTAGTGGCAGACATGGCGCTCAAGCCAATTACATGGCAACTAACACTTCTCGATACACAACCCCATCTCCCACGCTCGGCATCGTTCCTGCAAGAGATGCTGGGGATGCGTAGTGATACATCATCCTCCTCATCGTCATCCGTCCATCACCATCATCATTATCATCATCGTCATCGTGATCAGTATCATTTGCACCCTCATCGTCATCCATCATCATCATCATCGTCATAATCTGCTGACAAATGAGCAACATGCATTGATTTTGGCTAGGAGTTTTGCACCCGAAATGAGGCAATTCAAATTCTCCTCATTTTGGCTGAAGCTTTTCCATCGAAATCCGGCAACCCAATTCTCCTGATTTTGGTTGAGATTTTGCAATCGAAATCAAGCAGCCTAAATTCTGTTGATGTTTGTTAGGGGTTTGTAATCGAAACCAGGCAGCAAAGATTCTCGCAGTGTACACGGTGCGCAAGCCAAGTACGTGGCAACTAACATCTGTCTATATATGACCCCATCTCCCATGCTCGGCATCGTTCCTGCAAGCGGTGCTGGGGATGCGTAGTGAAAATGCGTTCCATTACCTACCTGAAAGCTACGGGCAATTCGACTCCGTAAAGACTCTCAGCCAAGTGTAACACATAGAGAGAGCACAGGGCGATGCGCCAAAGATTTGAACGAAGATGTGGGCGTGAACTCTAATGCGGGACATCATTTGGGTGGGGTTCCATGTCCACCAACGATTTTTGATGTGGTTCCAACTCTTAAAATCCGTGGAACATAGAGATAAACAAAACGTTTGGATCCATGGCGGTACACCTGTCCTTGGTACTTGAGGTGTCTAGCGCCCATGTCCGCCAACCTTTTGTCTGCAAGTTTCATCTGATTTGAGACGCAAAAGATGCGTCAACATTATCATCATGACTGCTGGTGATACTGAGGATGCAGAGTGAGAATTGTCATATCGATTCATCCTCATCAACATCATCATCATGCTCATCATGATCATCTTCTTCGTCATCGCCTGTATCTTTTTGTCCCTTTAGACCCGCTTGGAGATGCAGAAGATGCGTCGTCATGATTATCATCATGACTGCTGGTGATGCTGAGGATGCGTGCTAAATGCTATCATCTGGTTTGAGATGCAAAAGATGCGTGGGCATAATTATCATCATGACTGCCGGTGATGCTGAGGATGAATGGTCATAAGTGTCATATTGATTCATCATCAGCATCCTCATGATCATGGTGCTCATCATCATCGTCTTCTTCGTCATTGTCCTTATCTATTTGATGTACGTTTCAAGTGTCCCGTTAGACCCGATTGGAGATGCAGAAGATGCGTAGTCATGATTATCATAATGTCGGCAAGGGTGCGAAGTGATGATTATCATCCGATTTCATACGCACAAGACGCGTTGTCATGCTTATCATGATGACTGCTGGTGATGCTGAGGATGCGTAGTGATGATTGTCATCCGATTTGAGATGCAAAAGATGCCTGGCCATGAATATCATCATGACTGTTGGTGGGTGATGCTGAGGATGCAGAGTGAGGACTGTCATATCGGTTCATCATCATCAGCATCATCTCATATGGATGCATCATCATTAGCATCATCATCATCATCATGGCGCTCATCATCATTTTCTTCGTCATCGTCCTTATCTTTTTGACATACGTTTCAAGTGTCCCGTCAGACCCGGTTGGAAGTGCAGAAGATGCATAGTGATGATGATCATCTGTAATTGAAATGCAAAAGATGCGTGGACATGATTATCATCATGACTGCTGGTGATGCTGATGACATATTGGTTCATCATCATGAGCATCATCATCATCATCATCATGGTGTACATCATCATCATCTTCTTCTTCGGCGTGGACATGATTATCATTGGGGACGCTGAGGGTGTATTGACGATTGTCATATCGATTCATCATCATCAGCATCATCATCATGGTGCTCATCATCATCAGCTTCTTCGTCATCGTCCTTATCTTTTTGACATACGTTTCAATTGTCCACTTAGACCCGGTTGGAGATGCAGAAGATGCGTAGTCATGATTATCATCATGACTGCTGGCGTATCGATTCGTCATCATGAGCATCATCATCACCCTCTTCGGCGTCGACATGGTTTTCATCATGCCTGCTGGTAATGCTGAGGATGAACGGTCATAAGTGTCATATCGGTTCATCATCATCATCAGCATCATCATCATGGTGCTCATCATCGTCAGCTTCTTCGTCATCGTCCTCATCTTTTTGACATACGCTTCAATTGTCCACTTAGTCGATTCGATCATCATCAGCATCATCATCTTCTTCTTCGGCGCGGGCATGGTTTTCATCATGCCTGTCGATGATGCTGAGGATGCATAGTGATGATTGTCATATCGATCCACCATCATCAGCATCATCATGATCATGGCGCTCATCATCTTTTTGATAAACGTTTCAACTCTCCCGTTAGACTGGGCTGAAGATGCAGAAGTTGCGCAGTCATGATTTTCATCATGGCCGCTGGTGGTGCTGAGGCTGCGTAGTCATAATTATCATCTGACTTGAGATGCGAAACATGTGTGGACATGTCAACATGACTGCTGGTGGTGTTGAGGATGCATAGTGATGCTTGTCATATCGATTCATCATCATCAGCATCAGCATCAGCCTCCTCATCGTCATCCATCCATCATGATCATGAAGCTGCAACCCCGAAAAACACGGGGATGCTTCAAACACATAAACAAAAATCGTGAGAGTTTAGAGTTTAGAGTTTAGTATTTTCGTATATTTTCGGTGTCTGAAAACCAGCCCAAAGGCTGGTGGAAAAAATCGGCCGTAGGGACCGATAAAACCAGCCCGCAGCTGGTGGAACTTGAGAGAAGGCCACGAAAGCTAGCGCTGTTGTCTGGCAGGGTCAACAGCAGCGACCCGTAAGCGTCCTTAAGGGTTGCAGCAAAACGTGCGTCCGCTCACAGTCGACCCGCCGGTGGTAGAAGAATGTCCACGGAACGTATCTCAACACGAAACAAACACACAAACAACTTGAGCTACGCACGAACCAACAAGTTTGACGTATCGACCCTTAAGCTTCCTTAAGGGTTGCAACAAAATGCGGGTTGGGGGAGACAAAGGCACGCTGAGCACGGCTGGGGCCCCGCAGTGACAGAGCCACAGCTCGCCGATGTTCATGTCGCGCATGCTTCTTGCCCATAGAAGCAGTCCCAAACACAGAGCAAAAACATGTAAGAGTCACCGCGCGGGACCGGAGCTGGTTGGCAGCGCCAACCGCATGGCCAACACAGTGGCTTCCATGACCCGAAAGTACCGCGAAAAATGAAACCCAAACGCGTAACCGCAGTCTCGATGAAAAAACAAAAGCTGGAGCTAGGCTCTCAGGCCATCAAAAACGAACACAGATACACAGAGCTGGTTGGCAGCGCAAACGGCATGGCCAACAAAGTGGCTTCCATCTGGTTGTGCAACACACCCCCTCCCCTGACCCGAAAATACCGCGAAAAATGAAACCCAAACGCGTAACCGCAGTCTCGATGTAAAACAAAAACTCGAGCTAGGCTCTCAGGCCGTCACAGACGCGCACGGACACACAGAGCTGGTTGGCAGCGCAAACGACATGGCCAACACAGTGGCTTCCATCTGGTTGCGCAACACACTCCCCTCTCCTGACCCGAAAGAACCGTGAAAAAAACACACGCGCACGCACACGCACACGCGCACACGCGCGCACGCGCACACGCACGCACGCGCACGCACACGCACACGCGCACGCGCACGCACACGCACACCCACACCCACCCACACACACACACACACGCACGCACACGCACACGCACACCCACACCCACCCACACACACACACGCACACTCTCTCTCGCTTATACTCACGCTCATACAGCCGCAAGAGAGGCGCGCAGACACGCTGCAGGCGGTCCAAGCGGGATTCCAAACGACCCTTGATTCCAGCTTTTAGGGTCAGGAGGCGCAGGTACCTATCCCAGAAGGGAACTGGTACCCTGTGGTAGTAGAGGTCGTTTATGCAGTCCCTGGATCTATTCCGGAGAGAGTCCAATATGCCAATATGGATGATTGGAGGATGGATGGTCCCTGGTGGATTGTCTTGTTGTATAATCCTGTAAGCGGCCTACAAAGGTTCCTTTGTCACGCAATCATGAGTATTGCTATGGTACAGAAGGGCCTTGAGCCAAATGGTTGCGGGCGATCAACATTGGTCAAAAACAGACACAAAAACAGACACATTTTTTGATTGCCGGCGCTAGATATGAAATATATTTGGCTTCTTGGCCTTTGGCCGTAGCCTTGATTTATGCCGTAGCCATATGTGTTGAAATACTGGATTCATCCTGTTTTCTTCGCGGATGAAATGTCTTGATTTGCAAAATGGGAAACAGTCTGTACTGAGTCTGTGAGATACCTAGATGTATCTAAAAGATGATGTACAACGCTATGTACATGCGGGACGGATGTGAAACTATTGATCTGTCACTGAATAGTCTTGTTGGCGGTGAGGATCAATCCGGTTGAAATTCGTAGTGCCGATTTCGGGTGTTCTCTCAGTCGAGCTTCAGAAAAACTTCTTTCCTTGGCGGATCACTCAGACCAAAGGAGGTCGAATGGAT